TGGTTTTCAACCTCGGGAATAGTGGGGGAGTCTAGAAATGGACGAAGCCCTAGGTGAGGGTTTGAATCCTCTTTTCCCAAGACTCAGGCTGCGGATGGATCCTGAGTCTGGGCCCATTCTTGGCTTTATCTAAACTCCAGATTACCAAGCCTGGGGCTGAGCTCCAAGGAGGCTGAGAAGGGCCAGACCCTAGGCAGAGCCTTAGGGCACAGCTATCGTCACCTTCCTCGCTGGGATGTTTGGGACCGAATCTCCCTATTAACCCTGAATTTCCGTATTAACCCCTCAGAAGCGCAGCTGAAGACAGGCAGAGGACGCTTCTCGGCTTCAGAATCCCTCCCCACCTTGGAGGTAGGACCTCCTGACACCTGAGTTTGTGCCCGCCTTCTCCACACTCCACAGCGATCCTCAGTGTCCCACTCTGTGCAGTGGACGCACGCCTCCTGCGCCTGCGCAGCCTCGCGACCAGTATCTTCTAAGGCTGCAAGGAGCTAAAAATCGCTCCCGCCCACCCACAAGCTGGGCTGGACTTGAGGATCGCGGTGGGGGGGTGGATGTTGTAGTGGAGGAGGTGGAATGAAGAGTGAGAAAGCTGTCTAGGTGCCTGTCCAATTAGGGCAGTAGGAAGAATCCTGATGGCCAGGCAGGTGCGTGGGGGACGCAGGGCGTCCTTTGCCTCGGGAGGGGGCTCCTGGGGTGGTGAGGGGCAAGGCTGCCGCACAAACATGTTTATACCTGCAGCCGCGCCGGTGGCCCCGAGGGTCTCGAGCCCTAGGGCAATAACTTTGCTCTTCGCCCCCTCACCCCCAGCCTGGCGAGGCGCCAGGGGGATGACTTCGGCCGCAGCCCCCTCCCACTAGGGCGGGCCAGGCGCCCCTCAGGCGATCCTCGAGGTGGAGCGCTAGGCTGCACCCACTCCGGCAGCTCCCTGGATCGCCGGGCGGCGCCTGAGGGGCGGGGTCCCCAGCGCGGCAGGACGCGCCGCCACAGCGTTCCCCGCGGTTAGCGTCCCGAGCCCATGGGAGGGGGCGCCCGGCCGACCCTGGTGCAAGTTCTCCCGCCTCCTGCCCGGCTCCGCCCCAGGGCGCCGACCTCTTGCTCTCCACCCAGGGCCCAGGCAGCGGCGTACCTGCAGCCTCCGGCGGCGGATGAGGCCCGAATCGTCCATGGCGGCAGCGGCGGCGACTTCGGCCCGGGGAGGGAGGAGGGAGGCGGCGGCGGCGGGAGGAGGGAAGAGGGAGGGAGTGAGAAGCCGCGGGGACCGCGGCGGCGGCGGCGGCGGCTTGGGGGGGATGGCGGGGGCGGAGCGAAGTGGGGCGGGCCCGGCGCCGTCACTGCGTCTGGGCGCCCGAGACCGGGCTCAGCCATCGCTGCCCGCGCTGGGGGGGAAGGGGCGGGCGGGGGGGCGGAGCCTCCTGATGCCCCCATGGGAGCCAAGCTGCCAAGAGACCCCTATAAAGAGAGATACCCCAGCGGAGAGACATTCTCAAGGGTAGAACCCCCACTCGAGAAACACCCCAAAGGAAGCCTTCTCCCTGAGATACATTCCCTTTACAGTCGTTCCCCCGGAGACCCCCTTGGTGAGACACATTCCCAAGGGGAGATAGTTTCCACAGGGACGCCCTCTCCAATCAAGAACTCCCCCAACCCTGAAAATCATTTCTAAAAGATATGGTCCCTGAGAAGTGACATTCCTCTCAAAAGCCACCCCATCGCCCACGGAAGAGGCATTCCCCGAAGATAAAGATCCCAAGAGTGACAATTCCCCTGGAAACCCTGGGGAGGATACCCCCAATGAGAGACCCCTAAAACCCATATCCTCTGTGGGAAATTGTCCCCACCCATGAGACCTCCACAGCTCCAGGAGAGATGTCATTCATTCAGAGTGACATTTTCACTGAGGAGACCCGTCCTCATGGGAGATGCAACCTCAGAAAAATATGTGCATGCATATTACGCCCCCCACCCCCCGCAATCAGAGTCGCCTCAGGGAACCCTGCAGCCCCTCTAGCGACCCCTCCCTCACGGTCAGGATTAAGGAGCCAGGCCAGGCCGTCTGTATTTATAGGAGCGATTAGCTGGAAGTTGGAGAGGGGGGCAGTTAAAGGGATTTTCACCTCCCTCGACGCTCCTCCCTGTTCACACAGATGAGGCCAAACCCACCATACTTCCCGAAGCTGGAGAGTGTCCGAGCCCTCAGCACTCCAAGTCCTGGCATTGGGGGACAGAAGGGCTTTCCAAGGGGTGGTGGCCGGTATCTGGCCCCAAGGTCCTGGAGGGCGCGGTCGCTGGGTAAGAGCGACCCCTGCTGGACGACGGGGGTGACGGCGAACCTGGATCCGGGTTTTTCCCCAGGAACTTGTCGCCTCAAGTCCGCACCTTTGCCTGGGTTATCTCTGTCTCACTATATGTTTGTCGGCACGTTTGTGTTGCCGTCTCGCTGAGTCCCTTGCTCCCACATCTCTCCGTCCATGGCCGGGACTCCGCCCCTGGCGACCTCTGTCACAACGGCGACCGCGGGAGCTCTCCTTGGTGCTGGTCTCACACGCTCCTGTCCGCGGTGCTGAAATCCAAGCTCCGGGTCGGGGGCTCAGATTAGGGAAGGAGAGGGTACGGAGGCTCTGGCGTGAGGCATGGCCCAGAGGCTGAACAGATCTGACCCACAAGCATCCTGGACCACCTCAAGATGGACCAGGGGAAGACTAGGTCCAGCAGGCCTTGCTTATGGAGGCCTACAGCACATCACTGGGTGCACACAGAGGGACCCAGAGACAGTGTCTACTGATTTGTTCACTTTCTCACCACTTAATTGAGCACCTACTGTGTGCAATGTAGTGTTTTGGGATCTAGGAGGGAGTACAGCAATAAAAGAGACAGACAAAAAGCCTCTCTTGCCCTGAGAGGCACACGAACACTTACATACAATCACATGCTCAGCAAACACACACACATATATTCAAACATACTCTGCAAACATACTCCACAAACACAGATCCACACATACTGCAAATTAACACATGTATAAACACATACTCAGCAAATGCAGATACACTCAAACATCCATAAATACGGTTACACACAAACTCACACTCTGCAGCCATACAACGCATATTTAAGAAACACAGACATATACACACTCATCAAATGCAAACACACACAAATAACACATATAAACATAAACCAAGGGATGTCCAGTTGCACACAAATTCTCATCTAAAATACAAATTATTCTCATAATGCAACACATAGATACACACCCCCATGCCCACTGCAAGCATGTTTTTCTTATCTGATTCTCCCCCTAAAATGTCAGCTCTATGAAGGTTGAGATTTTTAATGTCTTTTTTTTTTTTTCAAGACAGAGCCTCATTCTGTTGCCCAGGCTGCAGTGCAGTGGAATAATCTTGGCTCACTGCAACCTCTGCTTCCCAGGTTCAAATATTTTCATGCCTCAGCCTCCCGAACAGCTGAGATTACAAGAATGTGTCACCGTGCCCAGCTAATTTTTTAAATATTATTTTTAGTAGAGATGGGGTTTCACCATGTTGGCCAGGCCGGTCTCAAACTCCTGGGCTCAAATGATCCTCCTACTTCAGTTTCCCAAAGTGCTGAGATTACGGGTATGAACCACCATGCCTGGCTGAAATTTTCATTTCTTGTTCACTACTGCATCCCCAGAATCTAGCACACAGTAGCTCAGTAAATGTTTGTTGAATGAATGGATGAGTTAAGGGAGTGTTGACAAGCAACACACATTCACAGAAACTTCAGAAGGACATAAAAGTGTGTACATGCTTCTATGAGCTGGTGGATTAAAAAAGAAAAAAGAAAAAGAGAAAAAAATAAGTAAGTAAAAAAAAAGTGTGTACATGCAAATACACCTTGTTCAGCACACGACATTTTCTTGTTCACTCATGGTCAACATTCACGGTCAATAACCTTTATCTTTGAATTCCAGGATACAAAAAGAAAAAAAAATCTTTATCCACTGACTTCCAAAATTTTTGTAGGGACACCAACCTAATCCTACATTCCCCCTTCCCGCATTTATTAAGATTATGTTTTATTTAACTGCACACATAGCGCTTGGGACACACAATCCTCACCCAGATTCCGAACGTACACATATATACGCACACACACAACAAATCCACCAAGAAACACACATAAACACAACTTCACACAACAAACACACACATACATGCTCAACACACACATAGCCATACAAACAAAAGACAGCTTCCCCGAACACAGGCAGGTTGTAGGCCACATAAACACACCTTCCACACACACACACACACAACTTCCACACACACACAAACACACTCCCCACATATATAGATACAGAGCTTAAGCCACAAGCTCAACATAAAGGCAAACACAAGGATATACATATATACACACCAGCCCCAACTCGGCCAGCCTTTGGTTAGCTGGAGTGTGGGCGGGATGGTGGGAAGTCCCGCCCCTGTATCAAACCACGCCCCTTTCAGCTGCCCGTTTCCTGGACTGGATCCTGAGGTGTCTTTGCAGCCTCTAGACCCCAATCCAGCTAACAGGTGAGGGGCTGGAAACCGGGAGGCAGGAAGGGGATAGTCTTGTCTCCAAAGACCCCTAGCTGTCCCTGCCCTGGGGCTTTGGGCCCCAGTGACGGAACCTGAGCCCTGCCACACCATGCCTGGTCCCAAAGGCCCAGGTCTTGGTGCCCCCTAAGCCGATTGTGGGCCGAGAGAAGGTGACCCAGAGAGGGACCAGCAGGGATCAAGAGGAGGGAGGCTGTGTAGAGAGGGAGGAATTACTGAACACGAGAGGGGGATTGGAAGAGCTAGGGAGGTCCCCTTCGTTCTGAGAAAAGAGGGGGTCCCTTGAGGACTAAAAAGGTGGGCGATCCTGCTGGATGGGGGGAGGGCCACTGTGGTCTAAGCTTGGTGGGGGTGGCATTAAAGGGACAGAGAGGACAGAGGTCTGATGGGAGGAGGTCTCCTAAGTTGGAGGCAGGCTCTGGTGGTCTCCTGGGATTTGAATGTCCTTGGCCACTGTCCAGCCTCCTCCTCAGCTGCACTTTCCCTACTCTGCCTGGCACTGCTTCTTGGTATGCATCGAGTGGGTGCCACCCTGAGCTCACAGAAAGGGATGGCTGAACCCCACCCTATGCCTGCTAGCTTTTATCTCAGGTGGACATGGCCTGCAGGGTCCACATGCGACCCATCAGCCTGGTCTGGGTCCTGCAACTGACCCTGGCATGGATCCTGCTGGAAGCCTGTGGAGGGAGCCACCCACTCCAAGCCAGGTCCCAGCGACACCATGGGCTGGCAGCTGATCTAGGCAAAGGTAAGCTGCACCTGGCAGGTGAGCAACCGGGACCCTACCTCATCACCAACACCCAGAAACCCACACTTACCCTCCCATGGCAATGTTAGAATTTCCTTATGAGAGAGGATCCTAGCATGGCCACCAGGGTGGAAGGCAGGGATGGTACTGAAGAATGATGGTTAAGAGACTGCCTGGGTTTAAATCCCAACTCTGCCACTTTGTAGCTGTGTGACTTTGAGGAAGTCATTTAACCTCTCTTGAGTCTCACGTTGGTCCCCCAAAAAGAGAAATAGCAAACATACCTCGAAGAGCTATTGTTAAGATTAAACCTACAGCAGGGCATGGTGGCTCACGCCTGTAATCCCAGCAGTTTGGGACGCTGAGGTGAGCGGATCACTTGAGGTCAGGAGTTTGAGACCAGCCTGGCCAACATGGTGAAACCCCGTCTCTACAAACAATACAAAAATTAGCTGAGTGAGGTGGTGTGCGCCTGAAATCCCAGCTACTTGGGAGGCTGAGGCACGAGAATTGCTTGAACCTGGGAGGCAGAGGTTGCAGTGAGCTGAGATGAAGCCACTGCACTCCAGCCTGGGTGACAGAGTTAGACCCTGTCTCAAAACAAAAAAAGGAAAAATACTAAGCATATGTGTCACTACCAGGCATGTGACAAATAACTAAGCTGATTATTATAAATGAGAAATGATTATTACTACTTGAAGCTGCATTTGCATTCCAAAGGAAGGGTCTTAAGTTATAGGTTTGTGAGGATTGATGTGTGATTGGGATCTCCCTTGTCGGGGGGATCCCCAGGCCTCAGTTCGCAAACCTTACCTGAGGATCCAAGACTCTGGCTCACAGGGGTCCCCTTTGCCAGGACCTTGTTGTCCCTCAGAGATGGACACAACAGAGACATCGGGCCCTGGGAATTATCCAGAACGCTGTGGAGTGCCGAGCCCTGAGTGAGTACAGCACCCTCAGCATTTTCTCCTGTACTTTGCCCCACTTTCCACGGAACTCCCCTCAGGTCCTGACCCATCGGACCCTATCTCTCCCGATGTCCAGGTGCGAATCCTTCCTGGAACACCTCCAACGTGCCCTGCGCAGTCGCTTCCGCCTGCGACTATTGGGGGTACGCCAGGCACAGCCGCTCTGCGAGGAGTTCTGCCAGGCCTGGTAGGAGATGCGGGGGCAAGGGGCGTGGCTTGTGACTTGCGCGGAGGGAGAGGGCGGAGCCTGCGGTTTGCTTGGCCTTCTGTGTGAAGGAGAGTGGCCTCCAACACGACCAAGGTTTAAGAGATGCAGCTTGGCCGGGCGCGGTGGCTCAAGCCTGTAATCCCAGCACTTTGGGAGGCCGAGGCGAGTGGATCACGAGGTCAAGAGATCGAGACCATCCTGGTCAACATGGTGAAACCCCGTCTCTACTAAAAATACAAAAAATTAGCTGGGCATGGTGGCGCGTGCCTGTAATCCCAGCTACTCAGGACGCTGAGGCAGGAGAATTGCCTGAATCCGGGAGGCGGAGGTTGCGGTGAGCCGAGATCGTGCCATTGCACTCCAGCCTGGGTAACAAGAGCGAAACTCCGTCTCAAAAAAAAAAAAAAAAAAAGAGATGCAGCTTAATGTTTAGAACCCAGGTAGAAAGGTGGGAGGCGTGAGAAGCCCCAAACTTTTAAGATACCTGCATATGGCGATGTGGCTTTTCATAGCCCTGAGATTTTCTTTTCTTTTCTCTCTTCTCCTCTCTTTTCTTTTCTTTCTTTTCTTTTTGAGACGGAATTTTGCTCTTGTTGCCCAGCCAGGCTGGAGTGCAGTGGTGCGATCTCTGCTCACTGCAACCTCCGCCTCCTAGGTTCAAGCGATTCTCTTGCCTCAGCCTCCCTAGTAGCTGGGATTACAGGCACCCGCCACCACGCCCAGCTAGGTTTTGTATTTTTTTTTTTTTTTTTTTTTGACGGAGTTTCACTCTTGTTACCCAGGCTGAAGTGCAATGGCGCGATCTCGGCTCACCGCAACCTCCGCCTCCTGGGTTCAGGCAATTCTCCTGCCTCAGCCTCCTGAGTAGCTGGGATTACAGGCACACGCCACCATGCCCAGCTAATTTTTTGTATTTTTAGTAGAGACGGGGTTTCACCATATTGACCAGGATGGTCTCGATCTCTCGACCTCGTGATCCACCCACCTCGGCCTCCCAAAGTGCTGGGATTAATGTTTTGGTTTTTTGGTGTTTTTTTTTTTTTTTTTTTTTTTTTTTTTGAGACGGAGTTTTGCTCTTGTTACCCAGGCTGGAGTGCAATGGCGCGATCTCGGCTCACCGCAACCTCCGCCTCCTGGGTTCAGGCAATTTTCCTGCCTCAGCCTCCTGAGTAGCTGGGATTATAGGCACGCGCCACCATGCCCAGCTAATTTTTTGTATTTTTAGTAGAGATGGGGTTTCACCATGTTGACCAGGTTAGTCTCGATCTCTCGACCTCGTGATCCACCCGCCTCGGCCTCCCAAAGTGCTGGGATTACGGGCTTGAGCCACCGTGCCCGGCAATGTTTTGTATTTTTAGCAGAGACGGGGTTTCACCATGTTAACCAGGATGGTCTCAGTCTCTTGACCTCGTGATCCACCCGCCTCGGCCTCCCAAAGTGCTGGGATTACAGGCGTGAGCCACCGTGCCCAGCCCAAGTTTTGTATTTTTAATAGAGACAGGGTTTCACCATGTTGGCCAGGCTGGTCTAGAACTCCTGACCTTGATCCACCTGCCTCAGCAGTGGGATTGGGATTACAGGTGTGAACCACCGTGCCAAGCCAGGCCCTAAGATTTCTTAAGGGGTGAGTCCTCTTGATTGAAAAAAAAAATGTGAGGGGGAAGGAAAAAAAAAAGAAAAGAGAACGTGAAAGGGTGGGCGCTTGTAATCTCAGTCGTTGGAGAGGTCAAGGCAGGAGGACTGGCTGAGGCCTGGAGTTCAAGACCAGCTTGAGCAACATGGCAAGACCCAGTATCAACAAAAAAATTTAAAATTAATCAGACATGGGCTGGACGCAGTAGCTCATGCCTGTAATGCCAACACTTCAGGAGGCTAAGGCGGACAGATCACCTGAGGTCAGGGGTTCAAGACCAGCCTGGCCAACATGATGAAAACTTGTCTCTACTAAAAATACAAAAATGAGTCGGGCGTGGTGTGGGCACCTGTAATCCCAGCTATGCAGGAGGCTGAGGCAGAAGACTTGTTTGAACTTGGAAGGCAGAGATTGCAGTGAGCAGAGAGCTGTCCACTGCCCTCCACCTTGGGCAACAGAGTGAGACTCTGTCTCAAAAAAAAAAAAAAATTATTCGAACATCATGGCGTGCACCTATAGTCCCAGGTACTTGAGACACTGAGGTGGAAGGATTGTTGGAACCTGGGAGGGCAAAGCTGCCAGAAGCCATGATTACGCCACTGCACTCCAGCTTGAGTCACAGAGTGAGACTGTGTCTCAAAAATAAATAAATAAATAAATGGAAAATGAAACAGTGAGGAAATATGCGGGGTTGAGCTGGAACGAATGGTCTGAGGTCCGCAGGGACGAGGCCAGTTGTGACATGACCCAAAGTATAGAAAGATCTGGTAGAATATGGGGCGGGGTGAAATCTGGAGAGATGGGGTTAGTAGGGGAGTGGCTCTAAGAGGCGGAGCCTGGATCCAAGGGAGGACCATCAACTGAACTCAGTCCTGAAGAGCCGGAATCCCGCTGAAACGTAGCTACAAAGCCGTCTCTCCACATGCTCTCTCCAGGTTTGCCAACTGCGAAGATGATATCACCTGCGGCCCAACTTGGCTCCCACTCTCAGAAAAAAGGGGCTGTGAGCCCAGCTGCCTTACCTATGGACAGGTGATCGTGGGGCAGAGGGTGAAGGGAAGAGACTAAGCGCCTCCTCACCAAATTCTTTCTTACCGTGTCTAGACCCCAGAGATCGGATTGACACTCCCCAGGTCCCGGTTTACACCCTTCCCTAGGCTAGCCTCCGTATTGGGTTGTGCCTGTTTTTTTTGTTTTGTTTTGTTTTGTTTTGTTTTTGAGACGGAGTTTCGCTCTTGTTACCCAGGCTGGAGTGCAATGGCGCGATCTCGGCTCACCGCAACCTCCGCCTCCTGGGTTCAGGCAATTCTCCTGCCTCAGCCTCCGGAGTAGCTGGGATTACAGGCACGCGCCACCATGCCCAGCTAATTTTTTGCACCTTTAGTAGAGACGGGGTTTCACCATGTTGACCAGAATGGTCTCGATCTCTTGACCTCGTGATCCACCCGCCTCGGCCTCCCAAAGTGCTGGGATTACAGGCTTGAGCCACCGCGCCCGGCATGGGTTGTGCCTGTTGACTCCAAAAGCTCTGAGTCCAGATTTGCCCTTCCCAAGAAACCGTCCCTGCTCTGGGCCCATCCACTGTTCATCCTGGAGGACCCAGAAGCCCAGTCACCCTCTATAAAACCCCAGCCTTTATATAGACCTCTCTGCACGCCCCCACTGCCCTCAACCCTGATTCAGCCCCCTAGGGCCCAGTAAGAACCTTCACCCCCCCCCCACCCCGCCCCAAAGAACCTGCCCCCACTCTGGTCCGGCACAGACTCCCAGGCCCCACGCTTCCGCTCTGATCCCAATCCCAAAGGAATTGACAGACCACGCCCCTGGGAGGAAGACCTACACCCCCCTCCCCCGTCTCGACTCCGCCCGCTAGGGCCCTAACGCCACCCTTTTTCCTAGACCTTCGCAGATGGGACGGACCTTTGTCGCTCGGCGCTGGGCCACGCCCTACCGGTGGCTGCTCCTGGCGCCCGTCACTGCTTCAACATCTCCATCTCCGCGCTACCACGTCCCAGACCGGGACGGCGGGCCCGGGAAGCTCCCTCCCGGCGTTCCCGCCGCCCTCGCAACTTCATTCTGGACGCTGCGGGCAGCGGGAGTGGCAGTGGAAGCGGCAGCGGTCCCTAGCGGACGCGTGGCCCTGAGTGGGGGGCGCGTCCCTTCCCCCAGGCCCGCCCCTCAGACACCCAGAACCCACCCCTCTCCCTCTGGGCGTTCTGATAGTTTCCAGATTTGTGTCCCTCCTCCCTGGAGCTCCAGAGACTCACCTCTCTCCAGCTTATCCCAGAAATGACCCAACTCTCTCTCACTTTTCCTTCTCCCTCTTGAATAAAGTCTCCAGCTACAGCATGTGATGTGGCTGCTTCTTGGGGAAATAAGTGGGAAGGAGAATTGTCAGAAAGTAACAGGTGTCTCAGATCTAATTCTCAGATCCTAGAATTAGTAAGTGATTCATCCTAGAGTGTAAATGATGGATAGCTTGTGCCCTAGAGCAGTCAACATAACTCAGAACACCCAGGTGTTGGAAATGGAGAGGGGGGTCAGAAAAGGAGCTGACAAGGGCAGGAGAAGTTCCTTCCCACTGTGTGCCACCAAGGCTGCCAAGAAGCTGCCTAACTTGTATAGCCCTCAAGACAAACTTCAAGGCCAGGTGCGGCGGCTCATGCCTGTAATCCCAGCAATTTGAGAGGCCGAGGTGGGTGGATCACTTGAGCCCAGGAGTTCAAGACCGGGCTTGGCAATACAGTGACAACCTGTCTCGAAAAAAAGAGAGAGAGAAGGAAGGAAGAAAGGAAGGGAGGGAGGCGAAAGGGGAAGGGGGAACGGAGAAGCGGGGAGGGGATGAGGGGAGGGAGGGAAAAATTTTAAATTAGCCCAGTGTAGTGGTGGGTGCCTGTACTCCTAGCTGCTCAGGAGGCTAAGGCAGGAGGATCACTTGAACTCAGAAGTTCAGGGCTGCAGTAAGCCATGATCACACCACTATATTCCAGCCTGGTGACACAGTGAGACCCTGTCTCAAAAAAAAATAATAATAAGACACGAAGACACTGAATACCAAGCTGGGCATGGTGGTATGTGTTGTACTCTCAACCACTAGGGAGGCTGAGGTAAGAGGATCACTCCAACCCAGAAATTTGAGGCTGCAGTAAGCTATGATCCTGCACTCCAGCCTGGGCAAAGGCCAGACCCCCCACCTTTTTTTTTTTTTTTTTTTTTGAGATTGAGTTTCACTCTTGTCGCCCAGGCTGGAGTCCAATGGCGGGATCGCAGCCTCACTAGTACCTGAGATTATAGGCACCTGCCACCACACCCAGCTAATTTTTTGTATTTTTAAATAGAGACGGGGTTTCACCATGTTGCTCAGGCTGGTCTCAAATTCCTGACTTCAGGTGATCCGCCCGCCTCAGCCTCCCTAAGTGCTAAAATTACATGGGTGAGCCACTGCACCTGGCTTTTTTTTTTTTTTTTTTTTTTTTTTTTTTTCCCCAGTCTGGCTTTGTCTCCCAGGCTGAAGTGCAGTGGTGCAATCTTGGCTCACTGCAAACTCCACCTCCTGGGTGATTTTTGTGCCTCAGCCTCCAGAGTAGCTGGGATTGCAGGTGCAGACCACCACACCTGGCTAATTCTTGTACTTTTAGCAGAGCTTGTCCAAGACCTCATAACATATTATACACATACAGACTACAGAATTTGATGGGAATGACCAGGAGTGGTGGTTCGTGCCTGTAGTCCCAACTACTTGGGAGGCTGAGGCAGAAGAATTGTTTGAACCCGGGAGGCAGAGGTTGCAGTGAGTCGAGATCCTGCCATTGTACTCCAGCATGGATGAGCAACACAGTGAGACATTTTCACAGTTCTGGGCTTCGACTCAGTTCCGCTGGGCAGTTCTCCCTGAAGCTCTGTCATGCACTTGGAGATAGGGGCTGGGGCTGGAATCATGCAGTCTTCCTTGCTGATATATCAAGACGTTGGCTGTTGCCTTGAACTTCTGCTCAGGCTGTTGGGCAGAATATCTACACACAGCCTCTCTGTGGCTTGGGCTTCCTCCCAACATGGCAGCTAAGTTCTAAGGGAAATGTCCCAAGAGAGCAAGCCAGGTGGAAGTTGTTTCACTTTTGATGACTTAACCCTGGAACTCAGTGTCACATCTTTTACTTTCTATTCACTACAGTGAGTCACTGAAGCCAGCTCATATTCAAGGAGAGGCATCACAGACTCCACCTCCAATGGGAGGGATGTCAAATAAAATGTGTATTAAGTGTGGCACATAATTATCAAAGAATGTAGACATCTGTTATGATTGCTTCTTGTGGCTGTTAAGTACTGTTATTGATGTTACAGACTGTGTAATTGTGACAAGGCAGAGCAAACTTTCAAGGAAGAAAAATAAAGCAAGTCTTTGAAGGATCTCCAGTCAGATAATAAAGCCATGGAGAAGGACATTCCAAGTCACAGGCCTGGAGATTACATGTTCTGGGAACTCCAAGCTTCTCAGGAGGCCTGGAATACAGCATGGGAGATCGGGTCTGGTCCTGGAAGACACTGGATGCCAGGCAAAGGCACTTGAACCTAAGGATAGAGTGTGATGTACCAGGCATGGTGGCTCACACTTGCAATTCTAGCACTTTGGAAGGCTGAGGCAGGTACATTGAGATCAGGAGTTTGAAACCAGCATAGGCAACATGGTGAAACCCCATTTCTACTAAAAATTAGAAATAGCTGGGAGTGGTGGTGGACACTTGTAGTCCCAGCTACTTGGGAGGCTGAGGAGGGGGAGGTGGAGGCACTGCTGCCCTCCAGCTGGGGCAACGGGGACCATGTCTCAGAAAAAATAAAAGAGAGAGTGTGTGTGATACAAGGTTTGGCAGCCTCAGTTACTTGGGGGGCTGAGGTGACTGTATTGCTTGAGGCCAGGAGTTCGGAAACAGCATGGGCACCATAGCCAGACCTCATCTCCAAAATAAAGTTGCATGGAGTGAAGAAATGCTATGTTACGGGTTGAATGGGTCTCCCCGCATTCATATGTTCAAGTCGTAACTCCTAGTACCTGAAAATGTTACTTTATTTGGAGACAGCATGTTGAAAGAGATAATTAAGGTGACATGAGGTCATATTTGTGAGCTCTAATCCAATGATTATAAGAAATTAGGACACATGGCTGGGCACCGAGGCTCATGCCTGTAATCCCAACACTTTCGGAGGCTGCAGTGGGAGGATCCTTTGAACCCTGGAGTTTCAGAGCAAACTATGCAACATAGCAAGACCCCCATCTTTTAAAACAAATTTCTTTTTGAGATGGAGTCTCTTGCTCTGTTGCCCAGGCTGGAGTGAAATAACACAATGTCAGCTCATTGCAACTTCCGCCTCCCAGGTTCAAGCGATTCTCCTGCGTAAGCTTCCTGAGTAGCTGAGATTACAGGTGACCACCATGACACCTGGCTAATTTTTGTTGGTAGAACAGACGGGGGTGTCACCACGTTAGCCAGGTGGGTCTCCATGTTGGCCAGACTGTTCTCCAACTCCTGACCTCAGGTGATCCGCCTGCCTCGGCCTCCCAAAGTGTTGGGATTACAGACATGAGCCACTACGCCTGGACAAATAAATTTTTTTTTTAATTAGCCAGGTATGTTAGAGCGCACCTGTAGTCACAGTTACTCAGAAGTCTGAGGCACCAGGCGCCGTGGCTCATGCCTGTAATCCCAGCACTTTGGGAGGCCGAGGCGGGTGGATCACAAGGTCAAGAGATCGAGATCATCCTGGTCAACATGGTGAAACCCCGTCTCTACTAAAAATAACAAAAATTAGCTGGGCACGGTGGCACATGCCTGTAATCCCAGCTACTCAGGAGGCTGAGGCAGGAGAATTGCCTGAACCCAGGAGGCGGAGGTGGCAGTGAGCTGAGATCGCGCCATTGCACTCCAGCCTGGGTAACAAGAGCGAAACTCCATCTCAAAAAAAAAAAAAAAAGTCTGAGGCAAAGGGATCACTTCAGCCAAGTTCAAGGCTGCAGTGAGCTATGATTATGCCACTGCACTGCAGCCTGCATGACAGAGACCTTGTCTGGAAAAAATAAACCGAAGAAGAAATCAATCCTGCTGACACCTTGATCTTGTACTTCTAGCTTCCAAGACATAGAGAAAATAAATCTTTATTGTGTAAGCCATCCAGTCTCAGGTACTCTTGTTATAATACCTCTAAACAACTAAAGAATACTCCACTTGGGAGGCCGAGGCGGGTGGATCACGAGGTCAAGAGATCGAGACCATTCTGGTCAACATGGTAAAACCCAGTCTTTACTAAAAATACAAAAATTAGCTGGGCATGGTGGCCCACGCCTGTAGTCCCAGCTACTCGGGAGGCTGAGGCAGGAGAATTGCTTGAACCCAGGAGGCGGAGGTTGCGGTGAGCTGAGATTGCACCATTGTACTCCAGCCTGGGTAACAAGAGCGAAACTCCATCTCAAAAAAAAAAAAAAAAGAATACTCCACAAATAATACTCTCACATCATCCTGGGTGTCTGTCATCACAGTGTTTCTTTTTCATTTTTTCCTAGACAGTCTTGCTCTGTCGCCCAGGCTGGAATGCAGTGGTGTGATCTTTGCTCACTACAACCTCCACCTCCCAGGTTCAAGCAATTCTACCTCAGCCTCCCGAATAGCTGGGATTACAGGCATGCGCCACCATGCCTGGCTAATTTTTGTATTTTTTGTAGAGGTGGTGTTTTGCTATGTTGGCCAGGCTGGTCTCGAACTCCTGACCTTGATATCTGCTCGCCTTGGCCCCCGAAACCTCTGGGATAACAGGCGTGAGCCACCGCACCCAGCCACAGCATTTCTCTAAAAGTATTGACAGTGGGCACAGTGACTCACACCTGTAACCTCAGCACTTTGGGAGACTGAGGCGGATGGGTCACCTGAGGTCAGGAGTTCAAGACCAACCTGGCCAACATGATGAAACCCCATCTCTACTAAAAATACAAAAATTAGCCAGGTGTGGGAGCACAAGCCTGTAATCTCAGCTACTTGGGAAACTGAGGCAGGAGAATCGCTTGGTGGCCAGTACCTGTAATCTCAGCTACTTGGGATGCTGAGGCAAGAGAACTGCTTGAACCCAGGAGGCAGAGGTTGTAATGAGCTGAGATCCTGCCACTGCACTCCAGCCTGGGCACCAGAGCAAGACTTTGTCTCAAAAATAAATAAATAAATAAAAATGAGGAGAAAATAAATGTTTTTTAAAAAAATGTTGGCTGGGCATGGTGGCTCACTTTTGTAATGGCAGCCCTTTGGGAGGCCAAGACAAGAGAATTGCCTGAGCCAGGAGTTTGAGACCAGTCTAGGCAACACAGAGAGAAGCTGTCTCTACCAATAATATTTAAAACATTAGTTGAGCAAGGTGTCATGTGTCTCTAGTCTCAGTTCTTAGGGGGTATGAAGTGGGAAGATGGCTTGGACCCAGGAGGTGGACGCTGCAGTGAGCCATGATGCCACCACTGCACTCCAGCCAGGGTGACAGAGCAAGTCCCTGTCTAAAAAAAAACTAATACATAAAATTTAAAAAGCGTTCAGTTAAGCGTCATCCCCTTCCTTCGATTCTATTAAAACTCTCTGGGGGCTGGGCATGTGGATCACAGCTGTAATACCAGCACTTTGGGAGGCCGAGGTGCACAGAACACCTGAGCTCAGGAGTTTGAAACCACCCTGGGCAATATAGTGAAAGCCACCTCTACTAAAATACCAAAAACTTAGCTCTCTGGTCTCGGCCGCAGAAGCAACATGACAAAGGGAACCTCGTTGGGAAAGCACTGCAGTAAGACGCACACGCTGTGCCGCCGCTGTGGCTCTAAGGCCTGCCACCTTCAGAAGTCGACCTGTGGCAAAAATGGCTGCCCTGCCAAGCACAAGAGAAGGTATAACTGGGGTGCCAAGGCTGAAAGACGAAATGCCGCCAGGACTAGTCGAATGAGGCACCTAAAAATTGTATACCGCAGATTCAGGCATGGATTCCGTGAAGGAACAATACCTAAGCCCAAGAGGGCAGCTGTTGCAGCATCCAGCTCATCTTAAGAATTTCAACAATTAGTCATGCACTAAATGTTCTGGTTTAAAACAAACAAACAAACAAACAAACAACTCAGCCAGGCATGGAGGCACGTGTCTGTAATTCTAGCTGCTTCGGAGGCTGGGGTGGGAGAATCGCTGGAGCCTGGAAGGTGGAGGTTTTAGAGCACTAAGATCAGTCACTGCACTCCAGCTTGGGTGACAGAGTGAGACTCTGGTTCAAAAAACCGAAAAAGGAAACAAGAAAAACTCTGGGCTGGGTGTGGTGGCTCATGCCTGTAATCCCAGCACTTTGGGAGGCCAAGGCAGGAGGATAACCTGAGGTCAGGAGGTCGAGACCAGTCTAGCCAACATGCTAAAACCACGTGTCTACCAAAAATACAAAAATCAGCTTGGTGTGGTGGCGGTACCGGTAATCCCAGCTACTTGAGAGGCTAAAACAGGAGAATGACTTGAACCCAGGAAGCAGAGGTTATGGTGAGCAGAGACCACGCCATTGCACTCCAGCCTGCACAACAGAGCCAGACTTCCGTCTCAAAAAAAAACCTGTGGGCATGGTGGCTTACACCTGTAATCCTAGCACTTTGGGAGGCTGGGATGAGAGGATTGCTTGGGCCTGGGAGGTGGATGTTGCAGTGAGCAATGATGGCGCTATTGCACAGCAGCCTGGGCGACAGAACGAGACTGTTTCAAAAAAAAATTATCAACTACAAGAAGCTGGGCAGCGTGACTTGCCCTTGTAATCCCAGTACTTTGAGAGGCTCAGGTGGGAGGATTCCTTAGTATCAGGCATTCGGGACAACCCTGGGCAACAGACTCTATCTCCATTAAATATAAACAAATGAATAATAAACTAAACTGCTGGTCAAGCAACAAAATAGGAAAGGGTTACACGCCACTTAGACATCATCTCTAGAATATATCTGGTGAAGCCAGTAACGTGTACTGTCTAGAGCATATTTGCTTCCATTTATAGACCAAGAAAAAAAACAAATAGCCAGGCACTTATTGGGGGCTCACATCTATAAATCCTAGCACTTTGGGAGACTGAGGCAGAATTGCTTGAGCCCAGGAGTTTTCGTTTTGTTTTTTGGGTTTTGAGATGAGTCTTGCTCTGTCACCAGGCTGGAGTGTAGCACATCTTGGCTCACAGCAACCTCCGCCTCCCGGGTTCAAGCAATTCTCCTGCCTCAGCCTCCTAAGTAGCTGGGACTAGATGCATGTACCACCACGCCCAGCTAATTTTTGTATTTTTAGTAGAGACAGGGTTTCATCATGCTGGCCAGGATGGTGTCGATCTCTTGACCTCATGATCTGCCCGCCTTGGCCTCCCAAAGTGCTGGGATTACAGGTGTGAGCCACTGAAACGGGCCAAGCCCAGGAGTTTGAGACTAGCTTGGGCAACATAGGGAGACCCTGTCTCTAAAAAAAGGTCTTTTTTTTCTTTTTTGAGACAGTTTCACTCTTGTTGCCCAGGCTGGAGTACAGTGGCACCATTTCGGCTCACCGCAACCTCTATCTCCCGGATTCAAGCGATTCTCCTGCCTCAGCCTCCCGAGTAGGTGGGAATACAGGCATGTGCCACCACGCCCGGCTAATTTTGTATTTGTAGTAGAGACGGGGTTTCTCCATGGTGGTCAGGCTGGTCTCGAACTCCCCACCTCAGATTATACGCCTGCCTCGGCCTCCCAAAGTGCTGGGATTACAGGCGTGAGCCACAGCACCCATCCAGATTTCTATTTCTCATAGAGATGGGGTCTATGTTGCCCAGGCTGGTCAAGATCCTCCTAACTCAGCCTTCCAAAGCACTGAGATTATAGGTATGAGCCCCTGCGCCTAGTCATATCATGTATTTGAAATATTAGATTAAATCGGCCAGGTGTGGTGGCTCACATATTGAAAGGCTGATGCGGGCAGATCACTTGAGCGCAGAACTTCAAGACCAGCTTGGGCAACGTGGTAAAACTCCATCTCTACACAAAATACAAAAATTAGCAGGCCATCAAGTCATGTGCCTGGAATCTCAGCTACTCAAGAGGCTGAGGTGGCAGAATTGCTTGAACCCAGAAGGCGGAGGTTGCAGTTGAGCTGAGATCGAACCACTGCACTTCAGACAGGATGACACAGCAAGGCTGCCTCAAAAAAAAATTTTTTTAAGTAAAAATAAAAAAAGGAAGGGCATGGTGGCTCATGCCTGTAATCTCAGCAGTTTGGGAGGTCAAGGCAGGAGAACTGCCTGAGGTCAGGAGTTCGAGACCAGTTTCCCCAACATGGTGAAACCCCGTCTCTACTAAAAATACAAAAAAATTAGCCAGATGTGGTGGTGTGTGCCTACAATCTCAGCTACTCGGAAGGCTGAGGCAGAGGAATTGCTTGAACCAGGGAGGTGGAGGTTGCAGTGAGCCAAGATCACACCACTGCACTCCAGCCTGGGTGACAGAGCGAGATTCCATCTCAAAAAAACAAAAACCAAAACAAAAAGTAGCTGGTTGTGATGGCACACACCGGTAATCCCAGCTACTTGAAAAACTGAGGCAGAAGAATCACTTGAAAGGCGGAGGCTGCAGTAAGCCAAGATTATGACACTCTATTGTAGCCTGGGGGACAGAGTGAGACTCCATCTCTCAATAAACAAATGAACAAAATTAAAAATTAAAAAAAAAAAATCAAACCAAATCAAATCAATCAACCAACACTCATTCTAATTAGGTTCCAAAAGGCAGCAGCTGGACCCGGCTACAGAGCACATTCCCACCTTGCTCTGCCCCAAAAGTACATCTCCTACGTGTGGTTTTCCTTTAACAAATTTAATGTCTGGGTCAGGGAGACAGGTAGAGTGAGGAGAGGCAGCTGCTAGAGGCTGGTTGCTGACTCCAGGCCACGCTCCAGGAAATACCGGTGGGAAGCACGGGGACAGGCTCGGGATCTTTCATTGAGGAAGTAGGATGTGATCTTCCCAAGTCCCTCCTGATCCTCGGGTGCTGAGTCCTCCCTGTGGGAGAGAGGTAATGACAGTGACCACGTCCAGGGAGGGCAGCGCTCCCAGGCAGGGCTGAACCCTAGCCTCCCTCCTTCCTTTCCTATAACACCCCTCAGACACCCATGATACCCACCATATAACATCTTTCGCCTCTTTCTCCAGGATGGTCTGGGCCGTGCGCCAGCTAAACCGGACAAACTGGGGGAAGCCAAACACAGGCTCCACGTGCTCCTTCAACCACACTTTTGTCTTGGGATCTGGGGTAGGATGGGCAACGGTGACAGTCCAAGTTGCATCATAACATCCAAGCTCCTTGCCCCTCTTTTTTTCTTTTTCTGAGGCAGAGTCTCACTCTGTCACCCAGGCTGCTCACTGCAACCTCCACTTCCCGGGTTCAAGCGATTCTCCTACTTTAGCCTTCTGAGTAGCTGGGATTACAGGCGTGTGCCACCACATCCAGCTAATTTTGTAATTTTAGTAGAGACAGAGTTTTACCATGTTGGTGAGGCTGGTCTCAAACTCTTGACCTCAACTGACCCACCTGCCTTGGCCTCCCTAAGTGCTGGGATTGCAGGCACTGTGCCTGGCCAAAATTATTACTATTATTATTTTTATTTTTTTTTAAGATGGGGTTTCGCTGTGTTGGTCAGGCTGGTCTTGAACTCCCGACCTCAGGTGATCTGCCCACCTTGGCCTCCAAAGTGCTTGGATTATAGGCGTCAGCCACCACACCCAGCCGGCCAAAATTATTTTTTTGACACATGGTCTAACCTTGTCACCCAGGCTGGAGTGCAGTGGCATAATCATAGCTCACTGCAGTCTCGAACTCCTGGGCTCAAGCAACCCACCCACCTTAGCCTCCTGAGTAGCTGTGAGTACAGGTGGGCACCACTATAACCGGCTAATTTTTTAAAAAATTTCATAGAGATGGGGGTCTCGCTATGTTGCCCAGCCTGGTCTTGAACTCATGGACTCACGCAATTATCCTACCTCAGCTTCCCCAAGTGCTGGGATTACTGGCATGAGCCACCACACCTGTTCTCCTTCCCCTTAACAAAGGGACAGATGCCTACCTGGGGTCTCTGGCAGTCACTGGAGCTCCAGAGAGACAGCAAGGTGGGAATCGGGGAAGAGAGCAGGAATCCAGTAGCCTGGAATCCAGCTCCATCACTCACTGGCTGTGTGGCTGTGACAAATGGCAGCACTGTCTAGAACTTGGCCTCTTCCACCATGGAGTGGGGTGACCAGAACAATGTAGAAAACCTCCAGCCAGGCACAGCAGTTCACACCTGTAATCCTAGCTATCTGGGAGTCCAAGACAGGATGATCACTTAAGCCCAGGAATTCAAGACCAGCCTGGGCAACATAGGGAGAACTCATCTCTTTTTTTATTAAAAAAAAAAAAAAAAAAAGGGTTGGTGGTTCACATCTGTAATCCCAGCACTCTGGAGACCAAGGTGGGAGGACTGCCTGACTCCAGAAGTTCAAGACCAGCCTGGGCAATGGGACAAGACCCCACCTCTATAAAAACAAAGACTAAACAAAATAAAATGATAAATGAAAGGAAAAAAAAGAAAACCTCAGAAGTGTGCTCAGCCCTGGCCATGTCAACATTAGTACCAGGGTCACTGTCTGCTCACCATTGGGGTAGCCTGAGCCATAATCAGTATCCAGGTCCTGCAGTTTTTCAACGAACTGCCAGTTCTTCACGGCCTGGTCCCGGGCCACCTGTGGGCAGGACAGGCACCTGGAATCTCCCTCCTCCCCCGTGGCGGCCATGCCTGATCCCTATACAGGGGGATGGTAGAAGCTGGCAGTGGTGGCTAGTAGAGTACTGACCTTGGCACAGATGCTGGCAGCACTGACCACGGGGTAGAGGGCATCTGCTTTGGCCTTGACTGTCACCTCAATCCCGGGAAAACTTTGCTGCAGCCGCTTCTGGTATGTCTCTGGCATGCCTACAGTGTCCACAAATACCTGCCATGGCAACAGAAACATATTAATTGAACATGACATCTGAAAAAAAAACAACGGTACCAATGCTCTAGCCTCAAAGCCCTGGCACTTTCTTCCTGCCACCCAGAATCCTCTTCTCACAGCTCACCCCCAGGCTGGACCTATCAAGGATTTCAACTAAACATTTCCTCCCAGGCCAGGCAAAGTGGTTCACACCTGTGCTCCCATCACTTTGGGAGGCTGAGGCGGGAGGATCGCTTGAGCCTGGAAGTTTGAGACCAGACTGGGTAACACAGTGAGACCCCATCTTTACAGAAACATAAAATAAAACAAAGAAAAAAAAATCCCAGCACTTTGGGAGGCTGAGGCAGGAGGATCATCTGAGATCAGGAGTTCAAGACTAACCTGACCAACATGAAGAAACCCTGTCTCTACTAAAAATAGAAAATTAGCCAGGCATGGTGGCAATTACCTGTAATCCCAGCTACTCAGGAGGCTGTGGCAGTGCCACTGCACTCCAGCCTGGGCAACAAAAGCAAAACTCCATCTCAAAAAAAGATAAATAGGCTGGGCGCAGTGGCTCACACCTGTAATCCCAGCACTTTGGGAGGCTGAGGTGGGTGGATCACGAGATCAGACGTTCAAGACAAGCCTGGCCAACACAGTGCTTTGGATGCAACCATGGGGATTTGGAAAACAGTTGCTGGGTCAGCTTCTGGGTGAGGACCATAGAGAAGTCGCTAGTGTGGGTGGGGTCATCCAGTTGTCAGAAATGCAAAAGCCTGAAAAGGCACCTCAAAAGGCCAATCTATAGGGCCAGGCATCATGGCTCACACCTGTAATCTCAGCACTTTGGGAGGCCAGGGCAGGAGGATCGCCTGAGGTCAGGAGTTGGATACCAGCCTGACCAACATGAAGAAACTCCATCTCTACTAAAAATACAAAATTAGCCAGGAGTGGTGGTGTATGCCTGTAATTCCAGCTACTCAGGAGGCTAAGGCAGGAAAATGGCTTGAACTCAGGAGGTGGAGGTGCAATGAGCTTAGATAGCACCATTGCACTCCAGCCTGGGAAATGACAGCAAAATGAAACTCCATCTCGAAAAAAGGAAAAAATAATCACCTCCTAAAGAGGCTTTCGTCACTCTGACCACACTGCATCTACTCTACACTTATTTATCACCTACTGCATGCCAGATGCCATTCTAGGAACCGAGAAGGTGTTAACAAACACACTAGAAAAAAACTGGCAGGGTGTGTTGCCACATGCCCATAATCCTAACACTTTAGGGGGCCAAAGTGGGAGGATCGCTTGAGGGCAGGTGTTCGAGACCAACCTGGACAACATATGGATACCCTGTTTCTATGAAAAATAAAAAATTAACTAGGCACAGTAGTGGATAAAGGCTTGAAGGAGGTGAGGAAGTGAATCCGTGCAAAGATCTGGGAAAGGGCTCTAGGTGTGAGAACTGATAGTACAAAGTCCCTGATGGGGACCAGGTTCATCATACTGGACCCATGTATGGGGGCTTATGGCTGCAGCAGAGAAGTGAGGGTCCCAGAGCTGCTGGGGAAATTGCTGTCTCCACAGCAGTACTGTTTTCAGAAACCATCTTAATTTTTTTTTTTTTTTCTTTTACCAGCTGACCACCTTTCTGCTCAGGCTAAGCCCCAAACCCCCATGGGCAGGGCCCTTGTCTGTCTACCCCAGTTACTGCATGGTCAGCTCTGCATTTGGGCCTGGTCCTCAGACCCCTCCTCGGCAAGGCCTACTTTGCTCTAATTTCTTTCTTTCTTCTTTTTGTAGAGATGGGGTCTTGCTATGTTGCCCAGGCTGGTCTGGAACTCCTGGTCTCAACGGATTTGCTAACCTCAGCTTCCCAAAGTGCTATGATTACAGGTGTGAGCCACCACACTCAGCATACAATTCCTATCTTGAGGTTATTTTGCCTTGCTATTCTCTCAAAACCAGTCTGTTCTTTCCCTGAGAGCACTCAAGGAAATGCTGATTTACGTTTTTCTCTGATAATTTAATGTAATTCTCCCCCACTGTGAATTTTCCTGATTTAATTTCCACTGTGATAGGAAATTTAAATGTCGAGATGTGCATTTCAAAAAGATTACCTTCTGTTGCTGTATGGGGAACAGACTAGAGGGGATAAGAGGGTAGGGGACGAGAGACGAAGCTCAGCAGGTGTCCAGGGAATGGGGGTGTCCTGGGCTAGGACAGAGAGAGTTGGCAGGTAGTCACATGTGGAGACTGAGCCTTTAGGGTGAGAGAGAGAGGAAATGGAGATGGGACTAGGGACTACACTGTGGTCCTGAGTGAGCCATACATTTAGGGCAAGAACGGGAGCATGAAATCAACAGTAGTAATGAATATGCCTGAGGTACTCCAGATGTATCTGATGCCCAATCTGCCTATTGCAGGTTTTTGCCCCATTTTTATTTTATTTATTTTTAAATTTTTTATTTTGCACTCTGTTGACCAGGCTGGAGTGCAATGGCTCGATCTTGGCTCAGTGCAACCTCCAATTCCCGAATTCAAGTGATTGTCCCACCTCAGACTCCCCAATAGGTGGGATTACAGGCACCCACCACCATCCCGAGCTAATTTTTTGTATTTTTTGTAGAAACGGAGTTTCACCATGTTGGTCAGGCTGGTCTCGAACTCCTGACCTCAGGTGATCCACCCGCCTCAGCCTCTCAAAGTGCTGCGATTATAGGCATGAGCCCCTACACCCGGCCTCCATTTTTACTTTTTAGTTGGGGGTCTTCCTCTGTCACCCAGGATGGAGTGCTGTGGTATGATCATGGCTCACTGCAGTCCTGAACTCCTGTTTTGTCCCCATTTGATCCTGAGGTGACCAAATAGAGATAACTCAACAGTTAGCTCACCTGAGTGACGTTCACGCCCTGGTCCAATGCATACTGTATAAGCCCAGTGGCTGTATCATGGGACAGGGAATTCAGATTGTATTTGACCCTGTGGTGGGGGACAGAGCCCAGTTAACCTCATTCTAGGAACAAAACCCAGCCAGCCCATGCTGGCTGCCCCTCTCCCACAGCCCCTCCTGGGGACCCCCTCACCGTCCAAGCATGCTGGTAGAGATGAGGTTTGGAGACAGCACGTCCAATGCCCAGCCCACAAAGTCCCCGTCCTCCTGCATTTTCGCAAAAAGCCTTTCCCGCTCGCTCTCCGATAGGGTCTTTGAGTCTGGGAAAGAAAAGGGGAACAGCTGTTTCTCCCAGTTCCTGCCCTCCCCTCCAGTTTTCATGTGCCCCTACACATATCCAGGAATCCCTTCCCAGACGCACACCCCAGGCTCACCTGCCACTTTCAGGGCCTCCAGATCTGCCAGGCGGGACAGGGGACAATAACAGATTGCGTAGACCATGGGGCCTGGGGAGAAAGGGTGTCAAATTTCTGGGAGCCGGAGTCCAATCACTGAGCCCGTGAACGTTGCCATTCATCCCTGTTCTATCATCACTTCTTTGGGAGCTATCACCACTACCACGTCCCCTCCCCAGGTGAGGTACAATCCCGACTCCCGTTTCCTGCATCCCGCGTGCCACGCCCCTCCCCTCCCTGGCCCTAGGGTCGCACCCAGCACCGGGCCCCGGCCCGCCTCATCGACACCCAGGACGCAAGGCTCCTTGCGGCACACCGCAGGCACAGGCGAACTCAGGCGACAACGGCCCGTATTGTCTCTCTCTAGCTCGCTGAGATCCATGCCGCCTCGGCAGCTGCCACCAGCTGCAGGAACCAAGGCCGCAGGACCTGATCTCAGCGCGCGTTTTCCGCGGGCCTCGAGGCGGTGCCTGTTTCTGGCCAATCCACGCGCAGAACACGCCCCTGACGCTCCTGCCGCCGTGACGCTTACGCAGCCGACGCCGACGTCACTGCTGCGCGCCCCCCCCCGGGTTATAGCCGAGCGCTTTCAGTGTGGCGAATTCGTTGGACTGGGTCGCTTTGCAAGCTCTGCTTCACGGTCTCTGGGGCCCCGCCTGCATTAGCCGGTGAGAAGAGAGGGAAATAAAAGGGAAACTGAGGTGCAGCTTGGAAGACCCAGCCTAATGAGGAACTAGAAGGTCAAATATCACTCCACTCCCAGGACACGGGTCCTCGCATGACGGGATGATCACTGAATCCCCACCTGGATTCCGCGAGTACGGTCCCTTTTTCTGCATTCTAAGTCCCCTGTACCAGGTAGCCCCCCTTCCACTGGGCTCAGGCCTTTGGATTTGGAGTCCCCAACTCCCTCCTTTAGTCGCTCCTTCTGGCCCACCCCAACTCCCTTCAACATCTCTGCTTCGTATCCTCTCATTCAGGCCAAGCCTTCCCCAACCGCAATGGAGATCCCAGATCTCAGTCGACTCCTGCTCAGGGTCTCTGTCCACCATGAAAGCTCACTCCTTCCAACTTAGGATGAATGTCCCCTACCCCACCTCTCGACACGTCTCCGTCTCTTTTGTTTCGTTTTGGTTTTTTTTTGAGACGGGATCTCCCTCTGTTGCCCTGGCTGGAGTGCTGGGGCGCGATCTTGGCTCAGTGCAACCGCCACCTCCTGGGCCGAAGCGATCCTCCCACTTCAGTCTCCCAAACGGCTTGACGGCTACAGGTGCACATCACACACCACCAGGCCCGACTGTTTTTTGTAGAGACAGGGTCTCAGTATGTTGCTCAGGCTGGCTTCCAACTCCTGGGCTCAAGCGATCCAGCCACCTCCGCCTCCCTAGCTATCCACGGGGCTCGCAGCTCCTGACTCAGCTTCCCCCTAACCAAATCAGCCTCAAGTCACTCAAGTCTTGGACTTTCAGTTCTCCCTTCCCCAAACTCGCCGCATACCCGCCCCGCATCGCAAGGCCTCCTTCCCCAACCACCCTGGGTCCCGCGGCTTAGGGTTTGCCCCGGCCCTGCCCCCCGTGGGCCCCTCTCTCACCTTGGCTTAGAGCCTCCAGTCGCAGTCGAAGGGTTTGCAGGATGGACAGTCCCGTTGCCTGCAGGGCCGTATTTGGATCAGGTTCTCCGGGTTCATGAAAACCGGGCCAGGCGTTGTGCCTAGCACCTCGCGGCTGCGCTCTTGCTTGCCCTGGTCGCAGAGACACCGCCAATTTCCCCACGGGCCAAGGATCGAGTCCTCAACTTCTAGAGATAGAAGGTAAAGCTAAAGACCCATTTAGAGGGGGCCTACTCCCAATCCCCTCACCCAGAGTGGGAGAAAGATAAAAGATACTAACAAATAAAAGAAGCGCATATCCAGTAGATTCTGCCTCTATGCCAGGCACCCCGACACAGATTATCTGATGTAATTTTTTTTTTTTTTTTTTTTGAGACAGGGTCTTGCTCTGTCGCCCAGGCTGGAACACAGTGGTCCAGTCATAGCCCACTGCAGCCTCAACCTCCTGGGCTTAAGCTATTCTCCTACCTCAGCCTCCCAAGTAACTGGGACTACATGCCACCACACCAGGCTAATTTTTTTGCATTTTTTGCAGAGATGGGGTTTCACCGTGTTGTCCAGGCTGGTCTGGAACCCCTGGGCTCAAGTGATCCTCCCACCTCAGCCTCCCAAAGTGATGGGATTACAGGTGTGAGCCAGCTACCATGCCCACACTTAATCTTTCCATGAGTCTCAGGTGGGGAAACCAAGACCCAGAGACAGGAAACCAACCTTCCAAGGTCACACATGGGGTAAGTGGTCCAGAGGAACTACAGCCTGACGCTTCCAAGCTGTGCCAGCCTGGCCAGTTGTGAGTGCGCTAAAACATCCTTGGGACAGCCGGGCACCGTAGCTCATGCCTGTAATCCCAGCACTTCCAGAGGCCGAGGCGGGTGAATCATGAGGTCAGGAGTTCGAGAGCAGTCTGGCCAACACAGTGAAATGCTGTCTCTACTAAATACACAAAAAATTAGCTGGGCGTAGTCACGGGTGCCTGTAATCCCAGCTACTGGGGAGACTGAAGCAGGAGAATCGTGTGAATCCGGGAGGCAGAGGTTGCAGTTGCAGTGAGCCAAGATCTCACCATTGCACTCCAGCCCAGGCAACAGCAAGAGACTTCGTCTCAAAAAAAACCCACAAAAAACAAAAACAAACAAACAAACAAAAAACACCACCACAAGAAAACAATCCTTGATGCTTGCCTTCTGAAGTTGACTTCTGTCTTCAGGGGTGTGACCAAGGCCCCACCTAGCAGGCATTATGCCACCTGACCAGCAGGACTGCCAAGTGATAAATGGCATAACTGACATAATGAGGGTAATTAAAGCTCCTGCCGCTGTGTTAGCATATACAAACCAATTTATTATGATCAGGTTTTGTTTTGTTTTGTTTTGTTTAGACAGGATCCTGCTCTGTTACCGAGGTTGGAATGCAGGGGTGTATTGATGGCTCACTGCAGCCTCAAATTCCTTAGTGAAAATGGTCCTCCTGTATCAGCCTCTTGAGTTGCTGGGACTACAGGTACATGCCACCATGCTAGGCTAACTTTTTTTTTTTTTTTTTTTTTTTTTTTTTTAAGAGACAGGGTCTCTCCATGTTGCCAAGGCTCGTCTTGAACTCCTGGGCTCAAGCAGTCCTCCCACCTTGGCCTCCCAAAGTGCTGGGACTACCAGCCTGGGCCATCAAGTCAGGCTAATTTTTTTTTAAATATTTTTTGTAGGAGAGGGGGCAGAACACACACACACACACACACACACACACATATTTTGTAGAGATGGAGTCTTGCTATGTGGGCCAGGCTGGTCTGGTCTCCAAGACCAAGGGATCCTGTCACTTCAGTCTCCCAACGTGCTAGGATTACAAGTGTGAGCTCCTGGGTCGGCCACTATGATCACTTTAAAGGGCTCTCTACTGAATCTGCCCCTTTCTCCTATGAGACAGATCTTATCCCAACTCCAATCTTATCACAACTCACCGCTCAGAAAGGTCTGACACCGGCTGGGCGCGGTGGCTCATGCCTGTAATCCCAACACTTTGGGAGGCCGAGGTGGGCGGATCACGAGGTCAAGAGATGGAGACCATCCTGGCCAACATGGTGAAACCCCGTCTCTACTAAAAATACAAAAAATAGCCGGGCATGGTGGTACGTGCCTTTGGTCCCAGCTACTCGGAAGGCTGAGGCGGAAGAATGGCTTGAACCCAGGAGGCGGAGGTTGCAGTGAGCCGAGTTTGCACCACTGCACTCCAGCCTGGTGACAGAGCAAGACTCCGTCTCCAAAAAAAAAAAAAAAAAAAAAAAAAAAAAAAAAAAAAAGTCTGACACCTCCTACCCTCCCACACCCATGTCTCTGCCACACCTCACCGACCTCTTTCCATTTTTCCTTCAAGCCTTTTCTTGTTCTCTTTTTATTTTTATTATTTATTTATTTTTTTGAGACGATGTTTTGCTCTTATTGCCCAGGTTAGAGTGCATTGGCATGATCTTGGCTGACTGCAACCTCCGCCTCCCGGGTTCAAGCAATTCTCCTGCCTCAGCTTCTGAAGTAGCTGGGATTACAGGCATGTGTCACCATGCCTGGCTAATTTTGTATTCTTAGTAGAGATGGGGCTTCTACTAAAAAAAAAAAATGCCCGTTGGTCAGGCTGGTCTCGAACTCCAGACCTCTGGTGATCCTCCCGCCTCGGCTTCCCAAAGTGCTGGGATTACAGGCATCCACGGCGCCCGGCCCTCCTTCAGGCCTTTTTCCTCTTGGCACTTGCTATTTCCTCTTCCTTGGACACTCTTTCCCCAAATCTTTCCATCTGGGGCTTTTGCTTGTCGTTCTCGCTGCACTGGTCACCTGTCTTCTGAAACCGGGCCCTCTCTGACTTCCAAAGCTTGCCCGCCCCATTCTTTCCCTGTCTCTGCGCTTCCTGGCACCTATCCCAGGGTTTATGGATGTGTGGCTTCAGTACCCTGCACACGCCCCCTCTTCCCCTGTGAGCTTCTTTAAAGCAGTTATCTATTTCAACGTATCCAAGAGTAAACCGAGTCTCAGAAACAAAGTAACCAGCCCAAAGGGACGCCTCCAGTGCGAAGCTGAATGGAGATTTGCAGTCTCAAAGGAAGGTTCCTTTGCAGCCAGCCGGAGAAGTAGGGCAACGAGGAGCCTTTGGACACCGACATCCCCGCCGCCTGCGGTTACCCTTTAGATGCTGCAGCCTCAGCTGCTCCCAGGTGTCACCTTCGCCCTGCTGGCCGAAGTATTGATAGTCCTGGTAGACCTGCGCAGGAGTCTCCAGCAACAGGAGTAGCAGAGGCAGCAGCACCAGCGCCGCCGGGGTCCGGGCCATGCCGGATTCCAACGGCCCCCAGCGCGCTCCCAGGCTGAATCGAGCGCGGAGTCCGCGGCTGCCGCATTACCCCCGCGTGCTGCTGCAGTGGTCCCGGCCGAAGGCAACGCGTCTCCCCCCGTCGCCCGCAGGCGCATGGACCGGGCCGCACGCTCCCCCGCACCTATGGGATCAGTGGGCCCGACCGCTCCGCTCGTTTGCTCCCTCCCCCGCGCCCTGCTCGTCTTGGTTCGGGCCGTGCATAAAAGGCTTCGCGGCCCAGGGCTCACTTGGCGCTGAGAACGCGGGTCCACGCGCGTGACTATCCGTGCGGCTAGCGTTTGCCCACGCAGGTATGGACACCCAGAGTGCACCTGGCGGGGGGACCCCTTTCAAGCCGCTTTGGCCTGATCCTGACCTCAGTGCTGGCCGCCTTTGTTTTCCATCCGCCGTAGTGGCCTCCTTTGTCCTTGCGGGGGAAACCGAGGCCACGGCCTTGAAGCGCAGGCCGGATCGCCCGGCTCCCCACCCCCTGCTCGTGGGGGCCTCACTGTCTCCTTCTGAACTGGGGGCTTGCGACACCAAGCTCCAGCCGACTCGCTATTGGGGTGCCAGTGGCAGTGGCTGGGTCACTCGTGCTCTGATCAGGAGGGCGGGTCTCCGGCACCCTCCGGATCGCGTAGATCCAGTCCCGGGAGGGTGAGGGTTAGTGTTGCCGCCTCCGCCTTGCTGACTCAGTCACGGGGCCTAGCACGCAGCGCGACCTTGGGGAGGGAGGGCAAAGGGTCTTCCCGGGCGCACTGACAGGGCAGGGGTCTCAGCTTTCAGTCATGGCCTCCGGTAACGCGCGCATCGGAAAGCCTGCCCCTGACTTCAAGGCCACAGCCGTGGTGGATGGCGCCTTCAAAGAGGTGAAACTATCGGACTACAAAGGTGAGCGCGACCCGGAGGGCGCCCAGGTAGGGACGCGGCTTTGCAATGAGAGAGGCTGGGCCCTAACTCCTCTTTGTCTCTCCTCCTCAGGGAAGTACGTGGTCCTGTTTTTCTACCCTCTGGACTTCACTTTTGTGTGCCCCACGGAGATCATCGCGTTCAGCAACCGTGCCGAGGACTTCCACAAGCTGGGCTGTGAAGTGCTGGGCGTCTCGGTGGACTCTCAGTTCACCCACCTGGCTTGGTATGAGCAGGGGCCAAAGAGAGAGGCTGCAGCTAAGCTCACACCCTCGGGTCCGAGCCGCGTGGCTTCGTGGCCATTGCTCAACCTCTGGAACCTGCATTTCCCCATCTTGAAAATAATGGAAATATTGCCGCCCAAGTCTTTAAGGATGATGAGAGTCGTTAGCATTTGGCAACTAGTTGCCTGGCATAAAGAGTTGCAGATGCTTTATCTACTTAGTTCCCAGTAGGGAGGCCGTGCTGCCCTATTTCATGAAGAAGGAAACTCCAGTTCACCTAAGGGACGGGCTGTTCCCCAGGACAAAGTTAGAGGAGGAGGGGAACTCAACACGGGCTCTCTTCTGGCTGATGCTGCAAGTTACAAGCACATGTGAAGCCACTTAGATGCAGCTTTGCCTCTCAAGCTTAGTTTTCCCAGCTGTGGGCATACAGTCCTCGCACACAACCCAGGATGGGGTGGGTGGGGCTCCCAGCTGCCTACTCTAAAGCCCCTTATCTCTGGCCTCCAGTGCTTATCACATTGGACCCACAGGGTGAGGACGCTGCTGTGCCAGGCATCCTGAGGCCCCAACTCTGTCTCTCCTCCTCCCAGGATCAACACCCCCCGGAAGGAGGGAGGCTTGGGCCCCCTAAACATCCCCCTGCTTGCTGATGTGACCAGACGCTTGTCTGAGGATTATGGCGTGCTGAAAACAGATGAGGGCATTGCCTACAGGTACTGTCAGATCCTCAGCCTGGCACAGGGAGCCCCCATTCCCATGATGCTGGGACCACTCCTGTGCAGTGTATTCTCTGCCCCCAGCCCTGTGGTTGGCAGTGGGTGGTTGGTAGTCCCTTCCTTGTCTCTGGCAGTGGGAGCTCCTAGCTCCTCACTGGGAACCCTGATGTCTTCAGGGGTCTCTTTGTCATCGATGGCAAGGGTGTCCTTCGCCAGATCACTGTTAATGATTTGCCTGTGGGACGCTCCGTGGATGAGGCTCTTCGACTGGTCCAGGCCTTCCAGTACACGGACGAACATGGGGAAGGTAAGTGGACACACATTCATACATGTGTGCACACATGACACATGGGTACATACTCAGCACCTCCGTCACTCATGCAAACATTCACTGCCTGTCCTCTTACCTGTGCAGATGGGTGTTAGAGCCCCACAGAAGATTCAGCTCAGGGCTTTGCCTGCAGGACATTTCTACTGTGGTAGGAGAGAGATCCCTGACATTCAACCAAGGTGAACAAAAGCGTCAGGCATATTGGCATGGTGGCTCATGCCTGTGATCCCAGCACTATAGGAGGCTCTAGTGGGTGAATCACCTGAGGTCAGGAGTTTGAGACCAGCCTGATCAACATGGTGCAACTAAAAATAGAAAAAATTAGGTGGGCTTGGTGATGGGTGCCTGTAATTCCAGCTATTCAGGAGGCTAAGGCAGGAGAATGGCTTGAGCCTGGGAGGCAGAGGTTGCAGTGAACCAAGACCGTCCCATTGCATTCCAGCCTGGGTGACAGAGCGAGACTCTCTCTAAAAGGAGAGAGAGAGAGATACCCCAGTACAAGACTGGGGGAGCTGGGAGGTAATATTAGGTTGAGGGCCGGGCGCGGTGGCTCAAGCCTGTAATCCCAGCACTTTGGGAGGCCGAGGCGGGTGGATCACCAGGTCGAGAGATCGAGACCATCCTGGTCAACATGGTGAAACCCTATCTCTACTAAAAATACAAAAAATTAGCTGGGCATGGTGGCACATGCCTGTAATCCCAGCTACTCAGGAGGCTGAGGCAGGAGAATTGCCTGAACCCAGGAGGCGGAGGTTGCGGTGAGCCAAGATCGTGCCATTGCACTCCAGCCTGGGTAACAAGAGCAAAACTCCGTCTCAAAAAAAAAAAAAAAAAAAAAAAAAAAAATATATATATATATATATATATATATATATATATATATATATTAGGTTGGGAGGCTGAGGCAGGAGGATCTCTTGAGCCCAAAGAATTTGAGACCAGCCTGGGCAACATAGTTGGACCCCATCTCTACAAAAAGTTTTTAAAAGTTAGCCTGGCTTGTGAAGCATGTCTACATTCTCAGCTACCCAGGAGGCTGAGGCAGGAGGATCACTTGAGCCTGGGAAGTTAAGGCCGCAGTGAGCTATGAATGCACCACTGTACTCTAACCTAGGTGACAGAGCAAGATCCTGTCTTAAAAATACAGAGAGAGAGAGAGGAGGGACAGAGGGGCAAAGATGCGATTAAAGGGGCCAAAAAGATAGCCAGATGCTGAGTCCCATGCCTGTAGTTTCAGGTACTCTGGAGAGGCAGGAGATTGCTTAAACCCAGGAGTTCAAGTCCTAGGCAATGTAGCAATACCTCATCTCTTAAGAAGAAAAAAAGAAGCCGGGCGCGGTGGCTCAAGCCTGTAATCCCAGCACTTTGGGAGGCCGAGGCGGGTGGATCACGAGGTCGAGAGATCGAGACCATCCTGGTCAACATGGTGAAACCCTGTCTCTACTAAAGATACAAAAAATTAAGCCGGGCACGGTGGCTCAAGCCTGTAATCCCAGCACTTTGGGAGGCCGAGGCGGGTGGATCACGAGGTCAAGAGATCGAGACCATCTTGGTCGTCAACATGGTGAAACCCCGTCTCTACTAAAAATACAAAAAATTAGCTGGGCATCGTGGTGCATGCCTGTAATCCTAGCTACTCAGGAGGCTGAGGCGGGAGAATTGCCTGAACCCAGGAGGCAGAGGTTGCAGTGAGCCGAGATCGTGCCATTGCACTCCAGCCTGGGTAACAAGAGCGAAACTCCGTCTCAAAAAAAAAAAAAAGATACAAAAAATTAGCTGGGCATGGTGGCGCGTGCCTGTAATCCCAGCTACTCAGGAGGCTGAGGCAGGAGAATTGCTTGAACCCGGGAGGCGGAGGTTGCGGTGAGCCGAGATCGCGCCATTGCACTCCAGCCTGGGTAACAAGAGCGAAACTCCGTCTCAAAAAAAAAAAAAAAAGAAAAAGAAAAAGAAAAAAAGAGACCGGGCTTGGTGGCTCATGCCTGTAAACCTAACACTTTGGGAGGCCTAGGCAGGCGGATCTCCTGAGGTCAGGGGTTCAAGACCAGCCTGACCAACATAGAGAAACCTTGTCTCTACTAAAATATAAAATTAGCTGGTGTGGTGGTGGGAGCCTGCAATCCGGGCTGCTTGGGAGGCTAAGGCAGGAGTATTGCTTGAACCCGGGAGACGGAGATTGCGGTGAGCCAAGATTGCACTATTGTACTCCAGCATGGGCAACAAGAAGCAAAACTCCAACCAAAAAAAAAAAAAAGAAGAAGAAAAAGGAAAAGAAAAAGGACAGGTTGGTGACAAAAAGAAACTGAAGAATTAGAGCAGGAAAAACACCAACTAGAAAATACTAAACTTGGCCAGGCACAGTGGCTAATGCCTGTAATCCCAGCACTTTGGGAGGCCGAGGTAGGTGGATCACCTGAGGTCAGGAGTTCAAGATCAGCCTAACCAATATGGTGAAACCCCATCTCCACTAAAAATACAAAAAAATTGGCCAGGCGTGGTGGCTCACGCCTGTAATCCTAGCACTTTGGGAAGCCGAGCTGGGTGGATCACCTGAGGTCAGGAGTTCAAGACCAGCCTGGCCATCACAGTGAAACCCCATCTTATAAAAAAAGAAATACAAAAAAATTAGCAGGTCATGGTCAGTTCATGACCATGTAGTAGCAGGACCTGTAGTCCCAGCTACTAGGGAATCAGAGGTTGCAGTGCTTCCAGCCTGCACTGCACTCCAGCCTGGGCAACAGAGTGGGACTCCATCTCAAAAAAAGAAAAGAAAGGCCAGGCGCAGTGGCTCACACCTGTAATCCCAGCACTTTGGGAGGCCAAGGCAGGCGGATCACCTGAGGTCAGAAGTTTGAGACCAGCCTAGCCAACATGGTGAAACCCCATTTCAAAAATAAAATGCCGGGCGCGGTGGCTCAAGCCTGTAATCCCAGCACTTTGGGAGGCTGAGGCGAGTGGATCAGGAGGTCAAGAGATCAAGACCATCCTGGCCAACACGGTGAAACCCCGTCTCTACTAAAAATAAAAAAAAAAATAGCTGGGCATGGTGGTGCGTGCCTGTAATCCCAGCTACTCAGGAGGCTGAGGCAGGAGAATTGCCTGAACCCAGGAGGCGGAGGTTGCGGTGAGCCGAGATCGCGCCATTGCACTCCAGCCTGGGTAACAAGAGCGAAACTCCGTCTCCAAAAAAAGAAGGAAAAAAAAAAGAAATAAAAAATAAAATAAAATACTGGGACCAGGTGCAGTGGCTCCTGCCTGTAATCCCAGCACTTTGGTAGGCTGAGGTGGGCAGATCATGAGGTCAGGAAATCAAGACCATCCTGGACCACATGGTGAAACCCTGTCTCTACTAAAAATACAAAAATTAGCCATGTATGGTGGTATGCACATGTAATCCCAGCTACTTGGGAGCCTGGGGCACGAGAATCGCTTGAACCCAGGAGGCAGAGGTTGCAATGAACCAAGATGATGCCACTGCACTCCATCCTGGGCAACAGAGCAAGACTCTGTCTCAAAAAAAAGAAAGAAAAGAAAATACTGAACTGGGCTTGAAGGGCTTCTCTTAATATGCACGTTCCTGGCCGTTGACCACTTGCTTCCATCCAGCATTTGCTTCTGCAACACAAGCTCTTGCTTTGCTTCACCTTCAACCTGGGGCTGTAGCCTTCATGTGCATCCTTGTGTCTTCCCACAGTTTGTCCCGCTGGCTGGAAGCCTGGCAGTGACACGATTAAGCCCAACGTGGATGACAGCAAGGAATATTTCTCCAAACACAATTAGGCTGGCCAGCGGATAGTAAGCTCGCGCCCCTACCTAGGTGCCTGTGCTGGGTGCCCACCTGTGCCCCCACCTGGGTGCCCTGTGCTGACCCAGGAAAGGCCAGACCTGCCCCTCCAATCTCCACAGTCTGGAACCCTGAGGGCTAGGCCCAGGCCTTCTCTTGCCTCCACCTGGGAGCTGAATAGTGACGCCCTCCCCCGAGCCCACCCAGCCGCACACAGGCCTAAAGGTGACCAATAAAGTATTAGGGACTGGTGTGAGTCTGTGTTGGTGTGCTCTGACCTTTTCTCCTCCCCTCAACCCCCATCCCTTCTCCAGGCTTCGGCTTGGGAAACTGACTCTGTAGTTGCGCATCATTGCCACGCGGTGGCGGTATTATCACATACTCAGTGCCTGCTCTCCTCCCTTGCCGAGGGGTAGGGAATGCTGTTTGTCCCTTGCAAATCCCAGGATGCCCTACATCCAGAAATCTAGCCTTGCAAGGCAGCGCCCACATCTTGTCCACAGTCAGCCTGGATTCAAATGCCGATTAAGAGCTGTGATCGCCTCTGGATCTCTTCAGCAGTAAAAAGGAACTGCAACCCCAAATCACCATACGCGTGGTATAAGTTAAAGGAGATGTTATGTGAAGCTCAGGGCCCAGGCCCCTGTGTGGGGCCCAGCTCCTACTAAGACGGATTCCTCGAGCTGGAAGGAACCCAGCCTGGCCTAGTCTTATGGGGAAGAGGGTGGGTACCTAGTCTTAAGAGCGGAACCAAGATTGAGAGCCTGAGCGATGTGCAAAGTCCCTGCTGTGAGCTCTGCCCCACCTCACCCTGGAAAGGTTGACTCTCTGCCCCTGGGGTGGGAGGGTGGCATTTAGGTTACGAGACAGGTATTAGTAACAAGGCAGGGATCCCAGAGGTGCAGTTTAATACTTTATTCGTTCAGGCAAGTAGTTCTGCTACTCTATGCCCTAATTTCCTTCTACAGACTAGGACTAACATGCTCATTTAATCCACAGATCCACTATTAATGCTGGTACCTCACCTAATACCCTCTCAGGTTCACACATTTCCCTTGGAATTGACACTCCTCCCCAAGTCCCTGCTCAGTCTCCCTTGACATCTGCCCTTTTCACTCTATTCCAGACAGGCTGGGTTCCTGATGTTCTTTCACAGGCTGACCTGGCTACAGGAATTTTGCCAAGTAAGAGCTGCTCCCAGCTGGGTGCGGTGGCTTACGTCTAATCCCAACACTTTGGGAGGCTGAGGCAGGCGGACCACTGGCCAACGTGGTGAAACCCTGTCTCTACTAAAAATAAAAAAAATTAAGGGTAGGCATGGTGGCTCATGCCTGCAATCCCAGCACTTTGGGAGACAGAGGCGGCCGTATCACAAGGTCAAGAGATTGAAAACATTCTGGCCAACATGGTGAAATCCCATCTCTACTAAAAATACAAAAATTAACTAGGTACAGTGGCTTATGCCTGGAATCCTAGTGCTTTGGAAGGCCAAGAGGGGAGGATTGCTTGGCCCAGGAGTTTGAGACCAGCCTGGGCAACATAGCAGACCCCATCTCTACAAAAATAAACAAAATTAGCCAGGCCTAATGGTGTGTGCCAGTAGTTCTAGCTAGTTGGGAGGTTGAAATGAGAAGATCTCTTGAGCACAGAAGGTCTAGGCTGCAGTTAGCTAGGCAGGCAGATCACCTGAGGTCAGGAGATCAAGATCAGCCTGGCCAACACGGTGAAACCCCGTCTCTTCTAAAGATACAAAAATTAGCTGGGCATGGTGAAAAATAAAATGGCTGGGCACAATGGCTCATGCCTGTAATCTCAGCAGTTTGGGAGGCTGAAGCGGGTGGATCACAAAGTCAGGAGTTCAAGACAAGCCTGGCCAAGATGGTGAAAGGCTGTTTCTATTAAAAATACAAAATGTAGAGCCGGGCGCGGTGGCTCAAGCCTGTAATCCCAGCACTTTGGGAGGCCGAGGCGGGTGGATCACGAGGTCGAGAGATCGAGACCATCCTGGTCAACATGGTGAAACCCCGTCTCTACTAAAAATACAAAAAACTAGCTGGGCGTGGTGGCGCGTGCCTGTAATCCCAGCTACTTAGGAGGCTGAGGCAGGAGAATTGCCTGAGCCCAGGAGGCGGAGGTTGCGGTGAGCCGAGATCGCGCCATTGCACTCCAGCCTGGGTAACAAGAGCGAAAACTCTGTCTCAAAAAAAAAAAAAAAAAAAGAAAAAATACAAAATGTAGCCAGGTCCAGTGGCAGGAGCCTATAATCTCAGCTACTTAGGCAGCTGAGGCAGAAGGCTTGAACCTGGGGGTCAGAGGTTGCAGTGAGTTGAGATAGTGCCACTGCACTCCAGCCTGGGTGACAGAGTGAGACTTTGAATAAAAAAAAAAAAAAAAAAATCTTCCCTCTGATGCTGTTGTTACCCAGGATTTTCTCAGGGCACCACTTCTTCAAATCTGTTCAAAAGTAACAGCCAGGAGCAGTGCCTCATGCCTGTAATCCCAGCACTTTGGGAAGCCGACACGGGCAGATCACCTGAGGTCAGAAGTTCAAGACCAGTCTGGCCAACATGGAGAAACCCTGTCTCTACTAAAGATACAAAAATTAGCCAGACATGGTGGCAGGCACCAATAATCCTAGCTACTCTGGAGGCTGACACAGGAGAATCCCTTGAACCCCACTGGCAGAGGTTGCAGTGAGCTGAGATCCCACCACTATACTCCCGTGTGGGCAACAGTGCAAGACTCCATCTCAAAAAAAAAAGTCACTGCAAGACAAGTGTGGTGGCAGCCGGGCGTAGTGGCTCACGCCTGTAATCCAAGCACTTTGGAGGCCAAGGCGGGCAGATCACCTAAGGTCGGGAGTTCAAGACCAGCCTGACTAACAGGTGAAACCCCGTCTTTAAAAAAAAAAAAAAAAAAAAAAAAAAGAGTGTGTGTTGCCTTATACCTGGAATCCCAGTGCTTTCGAAGGCCAAGGTGGGAGGATTGCTTGACCCAGGAGGAGTTCAAGACCAGCCTGGGCAACATAGCAGACCCCATCTCTACAAAAATAAACAAAATTAGCCAGGCCTAATGGTGTGCACCTGTAGCTCTAGCTAGTTGGGAGGTTGAAGTGGGAGGATCTCTTGAGCACAGAAGGTCTAGGCTGCAGTTAGCTATGATTCCACCACCGCACTGCAGCCTGGGCAACAGGGCAAGACCCATCTCTAAAATGCAAAAAAGAAAAGTGGCCTCATTAAAGGTCCATGTTTCCACTCCATTCTGCAAAGCAACTTGCCTCCCGACTCTACCACTGCCACCTTGACCTGCTTTTGTTTTTTTTTCCTCTTCCTAGCACTTACCACCACCTCCGAAGAACCATGTTTCCTTGTTTATTTATTGTCTTGTCTGGAGTGGTCCAGGCAGTGTCTCCAGTGTGTAGTTGTTCTAGGCATGGTATAAATGAATTGATGAAGTGTCTGTTCCACGCACCCTACTGCCTGTCTGGTTCTCTGCCTGTTTTTCTCCACTGCTCTGGGGGCTTCCAGCTCCGAACCGGCCAGACTCCCTCCAGGCATGCCAGCAGCACCCGCACCCCCATCCCCACCCCTAAGCGTCCCAGCTGCGCGGGAGGGAGCCCAGCGCGGGGGCGGTGGCGGCGCCCAGCGGCCCAAGCAGCCGCCCCGGCAGGACCAGACCTGGCAGTCGCCCCGCTCCTGGCCTGGCACCCGGGAGGGGAAACTGGCAGGCGGGCGCCGCCCTTCCTGGCGGGGGTGGGGGTAGAGGGGACGGCGTCGGCAAAGCAGCCGAGGCAGCAACAGCCCTCCGCCCCGGTCAGGTCAGACAGAGGGGGCGTGGGCGCGGCAGGGCCCAGGCGCCAGTGTCTTGAGAGTGGCACAGGGGTGGCTCCCGGGGCCCAGGAGCGCTGCCCGCCCACCGCGGCCGCTCTGGACCCAGGCCTGGGGCTTTCCGTGCCCGGGCAGCCGTCTGCCCGGGAAAATCCCGGCCCCCTTCCCGGCGCCGCGGCCCTGCCCGGCAGAGCGGGGGAGGGGATTCCCGGAATCTGCCCAGAGACCGCGGTGGCGTCACTGGGCAGAATGGGTCCTTGTATGGGCAGCGCTTCCGCCGCGTCAGCGGGGAAAGCCCCGGCGCGCGCGGCTGGGCGGGGCCGCGCCTGCGCACTCCGCGTCTCGCGCAGAGCTCCCTGCCTTCAGCTACTGGGCTCCCGGATCGCGTCCCGCGCCCCAACCATCCAACCCTGGAGATCAGGGGGCGCGTGTAGGGTGGGACTCCTGGGCGGACCACAAGATGCCTGCGCAGAGCCGAAGAGGGGGACACATACAGGACCGAGCCGCTTACAGCACTGAGCTGGGGCAAACCATTGCTTTTTTTTTTTTTCCTCCGCCCTCCCAGCTTGGAAAAAAAGACAACAGAAATTAATAAAGAACCAATTTTTTTTTTACTTAAATAGATTCAATAAAAAGAACAAACACACACACAAACACAAACACGTCTTAAAATAAACTCTTTAGAGACTAAGTGCGTGTTTCTTTTCCACAGTACGGTTCAGAGAGGGGAGGGCAGGGGGCGGGGGTCCCCTTCCCAATGTCCCCGTGGGCTTGAGTACCGGGCGGCGGGGCCAGCTCCGCCGCGATCGCCCCCTTCTCCCCTCCCTGTTAAATACACAAATATATTATATTCAATATGAATCGAGTCTGTTTCCAGCAGAAAAAAACATACAAAAAAAAGTGGAACGGGGGGCTTGTAAACGTCGAGGTGGAAGGACTGGGCACAGGGCGGGAGGGCCGGAGTCCAGTACGGTTAGCGGCGCCCCCAGGTCCCAGGGTAGGTGCCCACCGCCCGCCCCCTGGACCCCAGTGGGAGGCGTGCGCCCAGCCGTCCAGCGAGGGGGTGTCCGTAAGGGGGCAGGGGCGCTCAGAAGGCGTGTCCCTTGACCCCAAGCAGCAGCTGACAGCCGTTGCTGACGTGGGTCATGACCTTTTGTTTGAGCTGGGCCACCTGCTCCCGGAGGAGGCCGGCGGTACTCGACAGCCCCGCGTTCTCGGCCTTGAGCGTCTTCACCTTGTCCTCCAGGCGCGCGATGCGCTCCAGCTTCCGCTTCCGGCACTTGGTGGCCGCCAGCCGGTTCCGCAGCCGCTTGCGCTCCACTTTGATGCGCTCTTGGTCTTCCATGTTGATGGGGGACACCGGCGGCGTGGCGTCCCGGCTGCGCGCCTCGGGCACGGTCTGCGGTTCCTCCTTGAAAGTGGAGGCGCCGCGGCCCAAGCCCAGCTGCGCCGGGTGGCCACCGGCAAAGGGCGGCGCGTGTGGGAGGTAGCTGATGGTGGCCGTCGGGTACGAGCTCCCAGTCCCGACGGCAGCCCCGGCGCCTCCCGAGGACGCAGAGGCTGGGGAGTAGCTGCTGAGGTTGGTGTAAACGGGAGGTGGCTCCGGGCCGGCGTAGACGCCCCCGGGCCCAGCCGGGGGCCCACCGCTAGCGCCCAGGGACACGTTGGGGGGTGTCACGTGGTTCATCTTGTGCAGGTCGTCCAGGGCTTTGACAAAGCCGTCGGCGAAGCCCTCCTGCTCCTCGGTGACGCCTCCCCCTGCGCCCCCCGCACCCCCACCGCTGCCACCCCCGCGGGGGTAAAAGTACTGTCCTGGGGGTGTAGGCGTCGTCGTGATCACGCCGTTGCTGTTGGGGACGATCAGGCGTTCCAGCTCCGAAGAGGCTAGCTTGAGAGACGCGCCGGTGTCCGAGCCCTGACCAGAAAAGTAGCTGCCGCCACCGCCGCCCTCTGGGCCGGATCCCCGAGCCCCAGGCGCTTTGAGACTCCGGTAGGGGTCGGCCAGGTTGAGCGCCAGGCCCGGTTTCAGGAGTTTGTAGTCGTGTATAGAGAGGCCACCGGGGGCCCGGCCGTATGCCGCAGGAGTGTACGAGTCGTCGTGGTAGAAGGGCTGTTCCATTTTAGTGCACATCCGGGCGGCCCAGGCGGTCGGGGGAGGGTCCCTGCGGGGCCGCCCCGGGCCTCGCTGCAGCGAGCGCCGCGCTCTCCGCTGCGGTGGCCGGACTGGGTACCTGGTCGCGCGTTCTCGGGGGCTGGCGCGGGCGAGAAGCAGCCAGCCGGAAGCTGTACGCAAAAGCTGTCAGGCTTCCCGAGCCCCCCTCGCCCTCTTCGGCGCGCTAGCTTTCCTGGAGTCGTTTCCCCCAGCTCCCAGTTCCCAGCTCCCTGCTGGCTCCGAAGCTGGCCCGGCCGCTCTCAAGGTCCCAGCCGCTCAGCCTGAGCCACACGCCTTTATACAGAAGCTAGTCAGCCACGGAAGTGCGCTCTGATTGGCCGTCGCCGGAGCCGGGCCCCCGCGCCCCCCTCCTCGAGCGTGGGGAAGGGGAGGAGGCGGCTCGCGTCACTGTCAGGAAGCGCGTGTCCTTGTAAACAGCGGCCACGGGCCGGGTGGCTCGGCGGGGCTGCAGGGGGAGGGGCTCAAAGGACCCCGGGGTACGCGTGGAAGGAGGTGCTGAGGGGCCGGGACACATGAGTGAGGGGTTTCGGGGAGGAGGGTAATTTCCCTCGAGTCCACTGGGACAAATACCAGGACCTGGTACGGAGCAAATGGGGTGGAGATCCCAGAGTGTGCGAAGAAACCCCTGAGGTACCCAGAGCAGGAGAGGGGTGGAAGGACTGACAATTCGTTGGGAGACCCCAAAAAGCAGGAATGAGGGTTACGCACGATAAATCGGGAGGGGTAAGGAGGCACCTGACACAGGAATTGACTGGGGGGTCCCAAGCACAGAGGGATGGAGTACTGGAATTTTCACAGGATGGAGGAGGGGAGAGATCAAAAGGGGACAGTGGTGGGGCTGCCTGACCCATTAAATTGCAAGAAATGAGTAGGGGTCCCGAGGCCCATGGGAGGATCAGAGAGCTCCCCATAAGTGGGAAAGAGGAATTAGGAGAAATCTAGATATGCAGAAAGCGAGTAAGGGTCCTGCTATACACTGAGGCAGGTAAAATGTGCGGGGTAGAAGATGCAGACATGTCTAGCAGAGATTGGGGACCACTGCAGTTATCTGCGAAGACCGGATGGAGAGATAGAAGGATCCTGATCCATCTTCGGAGCAGGGAAGACAGTAAGAGGGTACTCAGTTGACGTGAGGAGGGGGCTTTGGGGTCCACGCACCCGGACTGCTGATCTTCCATGACTGGTGCTCCCCCTCGTGGGTGACCCCTTAGGCATCTGTATTCCCTGTCCCCCATCCTAAAACTCTCCCCTATGGACCCTGGGCTTTGCCCGACACCGTGCCGGCGCCTGGACCCGGCCCGACGGCTGGGGCGCGGTCGCCCAACCCCACTGCCTTCCTTAGAAACAGGCTGGGGAAAGAGCGCCGAGGCAGGAAGTGTGGCAACAGCCCCGGGGGAAGGAGCCCGGCCCTGTCTCCGTCACTCGGATCCTACGGGACCTTGCGCCCCGCCCTGGGTCCCGCCGCATCCTGCTCCTCGGAAGAGGAACCTGGGCGTGCAAGCCCCCGCGGAGGCCCTGGTGCTTGGAGCCTGCCCAGCCGCAGAAGCCTCCAGCTACCATCCTCTTCCCCCAGGCAATGGTTCCGCCCGCGGCGCCCGCTGGGGACCGCGGAGGCAGGCAGCCTGGGGACTGTTCCATTGGACCGACAGCGGGGGACGCAGCCCAAGAGCTGGGCCTGGTCGCCATGGCAACGGGCGGGAGTCCGCCGGCAGGACTCCGGGCCGGGTGGCCCCCGGAGTCTCTGCCCGCCGCCCATATTAGGGCACAGGAAGAGGTGGGACCAGTGCTGTCCTGGGGCCCCGAGCCAGAAGTGGGGAGCCCGAGTATCTGCCAGGTCCCAGGGCGCGCCTGGGCCCCGGTACGGCTAGTCCCGACCAGCCCCGACCGCCGCCCCCGGGGCCCCCACAGCCGCCTGGCCCGGCCCCGCCCCACCCCGCCGCTCTGGGGCTGCGTCCTGCCAGGCCCGGCCTGGCCCGGCCCAGCCCAGCCCGGCAGGTCCCCGCCTGCCCGCGGGCCTGGGTCGGACTTCGCCCCCGGCCCGACGGGGCGCGGAGAGGGTGGGTCGATGCCTCGAGGCGCCCCCGGCGCCTGGCCGGGCTGGAGTGGTGGCTGCCTCCTCCCTCGGGTGGGGTTCCCTTCTCTTCTGCCAGGAGGTCTGGGGCTCCTTCCTCCACACCCCTGGGGACTGCAGGTACCCGTCACTCACTCACGTAGGTCAGGCCCACTCCCGTTTTAGTCTGTGAGTCCCATCATCCATCATTCAGAATACTTAGAGGGAGCCCCCACCCTTCCCTAGCATGGCTCCCTCATCTGAGGTCTTCCCTCCCCGAGTTAGAGAAGACCTGAAAATCTAAGGGGTTAATATGAGGGAAGCCAGAGCCCCTTCCCCAGGAAGCACTGCGGGGCGGTGCAGATGGTGAGGCTTCCAGTTAGATTTAGGTGGGACTTCCGAGCAGTTAGTGTGTGAACCCACTAGACCAAGAGGTGAGAAGCCCAGTCTCTTTCTCCCTCTCTCTCAGGTTCCCAGGCCTCTGTCTTCTGGAGGATTAAGAGAGCCTCTCTCTTCTTTAGGGTAGAAAGGCTAAGGGTTGGGGTTAAACAGCCTTTCTGGGGCAGCCTAGATCTCACCAAGTGTGGGAAAGAGAAGGAAAACGAAAGAGGCGAAAAAGAAACTGAGCTATGTGGGGGCTGGGGGAAGTCCAGCAAGGCAGTGGCCTTGCTGGAGGAAGGTCCCAGCAGAAGCTGGGGGCGTCCCGTCCTTGGAGGGTCCCTGTGACCCCTAAATGCCCCCTCCCTTCTTCCCCTTCCTTGAATGGCTCCCCTCCCCCGCCCCAGGCTCAAGGGAGATTCCGGAGGCCTGTGAGTCTGGCAGGCACGCTGCCAGGCCTGTGTCTCCCGCCCAGGCTAATAACTGCAGCTGACATCTGGCCGGCCCCGCGGGGGCGCAGCAGGCAGTGTTGGGGGGTTGGGCAGGGCAGGCCAGAGGGCAGCACCTCGGGAAGCCAACCTGCAGGTCCCACAAGCCAGGACGCCATGATGATTCAGCCCTGGCCAGGGCTGAGGCTGGCCATGCCAGAGGGGAGTCCTAGAGAGAGGTGAGGCCATTCCAGAGAGAGTCTATCCCAGGGGGAGGGCAAGGAAGAGTGGGTGTAGGAGGGCAGGGGGTCAGGGCAGGGAAAGATGGCCAGAGAGACAAATGGGTTCAAGCTTAGCATTGTGTAGACAGACAGCGAGACTCAGAGACACTGAAGATAGACAGACTGAGAAATAATAATTACTATTTTAATAGCCAACACTTACATGGCTCTTACTGTGGGCGAGGCACTCTTCTAAGTGGTTAACATAAGTCATCGACTGCTTTCAACAACCCAGCAAAATGAACATTATTTGTATCCCCATTTGACAGATGGGGATACAACTGAGGCATAGGAGATTAAGGAATTTGTCTGTACACCTATAAGCACTAGTGTTGAGATATAATCCATGCTGTCTGGCTTCAGAGCTTTAGCCACTATATTGTGGATGGTGACAATCAGAGAGGCATCTATGCAGTGGCAGTTGGCAGGCCCTCTCACAAAGGGTCTCTGTCATTTTGTTTTCTTTTCTCTTATTTTATTTTTATTTTTATTTTTTTTTTTGAGACGGAGTTTTGCTCTTGTTACCCAGGCTGGAGTGCAATGGCGTGATCTTGGCTCACCACAACCTCTGCCTCCTGGGTTCAGGCAATTCTCCTGCCTCAGCCTCCTGAGTAGCTGGGATTACAGGTACGCGCCACCATGCCCAGCTAATTTTTTGTATTTTTAGTAGAGACGGGGTTTCACCAAGTTGACCAGGATGGTCTCGATCTCTTGACCTTGTGATCCACCCGCCTCAGCCTCCCAAAGTGCTGGGATTACAGGCTTGAGCCACCGCGCCCGGCTTATTTTATTTTTTGAGATGGAGTCTCACTCTGTCGCCCAGGCTGGAGTGCAGTGGAGTGATCCTCAGCTTACTGCAACCTCCTCTCCCAGGTTCAAGCGATTCTCCTGCCTCAGCCTCCTGAGTAGCTGGAATTACAGGCGCGCACCACCATGCCTGGCTAATTTTCGTATTTTTAATAGAGACGAGGCTTCACCATGCAGGTCAGGCTGGTCTCCCAACTCCTGACTTCGTGCTCTGCCCGCCTTGGCGTCCCAAAGTACTGGGATTACAGATATAAACCACCATGCCCGGCCCTTTTTGATTTTTAAAAGAGAAGCTCACTTTGGGCAGGCACAGTGGCTCACATCTATAATCTCAGAACTTTGGGAGGCTGATGGAGGATCAGTTGAGCCCAGGAGTTTTGTTTATTTGTTTTGTTGTGTTTTGAGATGGAGTCTCACTCTCTTGCCCAGGCTGGAGTGCAGTGGCACAATCTCAGCTCACTGCAACCTTTACTTCCCAGGTTCAAGCGATTCTCCCACCTCAGCCTCCCCAGTAGCTGGGATTATAGGTGTGTGCCACCATGACCGGCTAATTTTTTTGTGTTTTCAGTAGAGATGGGTTTCGCTATGTTGGCCAGGCTGGTCTCAAACCCCTGACCTCAAGTGAACCAACAGCGTTGGCTTCCCAAAGAGCTGGGATTACAGGCATGAGCCACTGCGCCCAGACCTAGCCCTGGTTTGCGACCATCCTGGGCAACATAGCAAGACCCCATCTCTACAAAAAAATTTAAAAATCAGGCCGGGCGCGGTGGCTCAAGCTTGTAATCCCAGCACTTTGGGAGGCCGAGGTGGGTGGATCATGAGGTCGAGAGATCGAGACCATCCTGGTCAACATGGTGAAACCCCGTCTCTACTAAAAATACAAAAAATTAGCTGGGCATGGTGGTGCGTGACTGTAATCCCAGCTACTCAGGAGGCTGAGGCAGGAGAATTGCCTGAACCCAGGAGGCGGAGGTTGCGGTGAGCCGAGATCGCGCCATTGCACTCCAGCCTGGGTAACAAGAGCGAAACTCCATCTCAAAAAAAAAAAAAAAAAAAAAAAATTTAAAAATTAGCTGGGGTCAGTGGGTGCATGTAGTCCCTGCTACTCTGAAGATTGAGGCAGGATGATCACAGGAGCCATGATCTTGATACTGTACTCCAGCCTGGGAACACAGCAAGACCATCTCACTCTGACACTCAGGCTAGAGTGCAGCTACGCAATCATAGCTCACTGCAGCCTTTAACTCCTGGGTGCAAGTGATCCTCCTGCCTCAGCCTCCAGAGTAACTGGGACTACAAGGACTCCACATCTGGCTAAGTTTTATTTTTTTAACTTTTT